TCTTTTGCGTTTACATGCAAACGAGGCAGTGGAGCGATGAGTGCCGTCACGTTTGCGGACGTTTATCATAGTCAAGCCTGTCATCCTACTGGCTGCGCATTCCTTTTTGTCAGCAATGCGAACACTGGGTCATTCTCCTTACGTTTTTTGTACCGCAAAGATACGAGAACAAGATATAGAAAGCGCTCGCAGACTTACATTACACGACAGGATGGGAATACTAGTATTCCGTCTTGCAAAGATCGCTGTAAACTACGCGTATTGTTGAAGGTATAGAAGTTAATTAAATTTTTTACTCTATCGAATGTGCCTTTCTTATTCTATTCCATTCTTAATTTTACGTGGCGGGGCTCAGTTCATCAGGGCAGTTCTTCCGCATGACCATGCACGTTTTGTTACGGTCCTTTCGTCATCCAGTAGAGATAGAAGGTATCGGGGTCAGTAGCTTAACGAAATGAGTGCGGGCCCGCCAACAAAACATTTATCCGCGCCCCCTTTATTAAAGTGTATAACAACACGAGTAGTGTTAGTACCTTAAATAATAAAAATAGGCTTCCTTTTACCCGAGCCCTCCCCCATTGAGGGTCTTTTGGACCAGAACTCACCGATGAAATAGGCGATTTGAATTCGGCTTAGAGGCTTCTTTTAGGCTTGAGCATTACACGCAGTAAATCCACAGCATGAGACAGTATACTCCTAGTGTGTGCATAACTCCACAAGAAGTTCGTGTTCTATCGGGGGCACAAGTCCCCGGGGTGGGTATCTTGAGATTTGCGCTTTTATTCCCCCCCCCCCCCCCCCGGCCGCCGCACATGTACGACTACAGGCCGATATCCGGGCCCAGTCGGGACCCAGTTGACCCTCTCGGCAAACTTTCCCATGCAATGCCTGAGTTGGGCCGCCCCGCTACTCGCTTTCCTGGCTCTGAGCTACTAGATTTACGGGCTTGTACCGGAGTCCATCTCATCGTGTGATGACACGCCACTCACATGCGCCTCTATGCCCAGAGTATTGGGCCACTACCGCGTACCCAACTGGGGGCCATCCGAACTAAGGTCCGGGCGGGTCGGAGCCCCCATTGTCTCCTCACTGCATACACTGGCGGCTAACGACGAGAGAACCGCCGGAACCTAGGCAACCAGACGGTAGGTAATTTCCCGTCGGACTTTTATATGTGGATTCCAGAGCGTTCCTAAGAACCTCCTTCACCTAGGCCTGCCCAAAGGTCGGCACGCCAGGGGCCCAACTGGTGGGTTACTGGGTTGAATCGGCAACCAGGAGCTAAATCATTGCCTACTCAGTTCCTCCACCACGAACCTAACGGTGCGAGCTTCACCGTGAAACTAAGGGTCCGGGTGGTCGCCTACAACTCGCCACCAGAGACCATCACCTACCGACGCAGACAGTATCCCTCCTTGCGGGGACAGTATGGGACAGCAGACTTTACTTCCCCTCCGAAGGAAGGCGTACGAAAGATAAAAACCCACGGCTTCGATCACGGTTGAACCAGCGAACTTGGGTATAAATCCGATACGCTAACCATTACATCACCGGTCTCAAATGCGTAAGCCAACGTCTTGGTTCGTTGGCGCGCACGGGTCATTCTACATCAAGTCAACAAGGGTCCCAATCCTGACAGTTTCAGTCTGAAACAATAATTAACTTGTCACTGAACAATTCATTTGAAGAAGGTAATCTGAAGGATGTAATGTGGTCTGCGCATTATTTTAATGTAATCCATGCACTTTATCTCGGGTAACAATGGAAAAGTTTTCAGAAAATCGTACAAAGCTGTGGATTCTCCCAGTTGACAATCTCGTATGTATTTATTATTTTCAGAAGAGATGAATGAATGTGTCAACAATTCACTAATTTTGCCATTAAACAATCAAAATCTTCTTGGCCTTCACAATTGTCTAAATTTGATCCGTCAGTTCTCACCCACTGTTTGAACGAAATTGTTTCGGTGAAGTTTTCTTCCATTTCTTCCAAATTATTTTTAATCTTCGAAATCCCGGGACTTTCAGAGCACTCGCCAAAAAAGTAACAAATTCGGGGTGAATTGTGTACTATGAAGGCCAGCATGGTTTTGTAAGAAGACATTTAAGTTATAACGTTGTAATAATGTTAGTAACTTTGCAGCATCAAACTTAAGTTTAAACTATTACGTTCTGATTAAAACACAGTGTGTTCCACTTACACACAGCTAAAATGCAGTTTCGGGCAGAAGAGATGTAAACGTGGAAAACACAATTTCAGATCAGGATGTGGAAATTTAAAATCTGCATATTGTCACGCTCGCACCTTCAATTTAACGTTGGACGCGCTGGCTAGCTCTTCGACTCCTGCTGGTTACCTGCAAGTGACTAAAGGAGGATGGACGTTGTAGAGAAATAAGTTATTTAGTGAACATTATTTCTCTAGTTTAATGACTGAATAATCACAAAAAAAGAAGAAAATTTACCATTCCTATCGCTTTTTTTTGTTACAAGTCTTCATAATTTTTACCTGAATTCCTCGAGATTCCGTTAAGAGGGGATGGGGTCTCAGCAGGCACGCGTGCCTTTTGCTGTAGACGCTCACAAAGAAAGAAAGGAGCGGGTGTGCGCGAGACGACCGCCGCCTGTCCGGCAAAAAGGGCTGTCGAGTGCGTCGTTTTTACGACGCATTTGGTCGCATTTTGCAAGAACCAAGAAACAGTATTTTAATAAATTTTAATTTCTAAAAATCAGTGACGCCACAGTATGTTGTATTTAAGTTTACAAGAATGAGAATCTTCAGTTCATGTATTTTCTTCCCGCACTCCTCAACATTATATAATCATTCTTGCCGGGCATTATTCTACTAACAGCATCTGAACAATAATATTCCTTTACTTTTTTGATACTCACCTAGGATAAATTCTTGCCTGGTTTTGAGTGCGGAGAGGACAATGCGGTCTGCCCTTTAAGAGATTTTGGCTTTGCCTACCGTGCATTCAGAAGCCGGTAATTCACTTTTAATTTTATTAATGCTCCAGCTATTCGAAAGAAGTGTCAAAATAGTTATTTTTAACTTGGGTTATATGTTCGAAATTTCTCTTTCAACTGAAATTTCTCTTTCGACGGACCAGGCGGCGGGTCATTAGGAAAATGAAAACGTTCTCCTTTAAAACCTTTTCAATTTTATAAACCATTTCTTCTCTACATATTTACCCTAATGTGTGTTTCACCTATATTTACAAGACGGTTTAAACGTTCCAAAGATGTACCTTCATCAACGAACATTTCTTCATCAATGAACCTTCTGATGCAACACACGAATCAATCTTTCCTGTATTGATTGCATAATTTTTGTTGAGATTACCAATTCTGATACACCCTCACCATCAAAGGAAGAAACACTACGATGGATTTTTTATGAGAAAAGTGCCCAGATTTATTGAATGTATTACAGCACACCGAAAATTTAAACTGATCTTCCGATATCACACAGTGGCACACCCTGGAAAGTTTTCTACAGCCTACGACGCACGAAAGATAACTGAGCTCAGACTGAACCTTGGAAGGTTTCAGTAGTTGCTAACGCAGTTAGTTTTGTCCCTACAGTGATCAATACAAAAACATTTGCGCCCCCGGGACCCCGCGTGGGCTGATAAACTTGGGCGCCCGGAAACGGTGCTTCCGTTCATGGTAGACAGCAAGCAAGTGCCTTCGCGGGTGCATGTGGAAAAATTTAGGATCATAACTTCTTGCTGCATTGCCATCCCAAATTCAAATTTTCATCAAAGGCGATCCATATTGCCCTTCAACGAACTTTTTTCTTAACAAAATTAATTACTTCATATATCTTTATATGGAATAACACATAAGCTTTCCAATGAGATAAGCATTTTTGCTGTGTGTTTGATAGAACGGAATATATTGCGATTCAAATGAATTCATGGTCACCGAAATTTACACGTTTTTTCGATTTTCAAAGACACCTAAAGTACAAACCAACAAATTTACCATTCTAAAATTTACAGAGATAGTTTATGTCCCATAAAGAAGGTGTTCATAACGTTTCACTAAAATTAGTGGGGGCGAGGGTTGAAAATGTCTCTTATTCTGCGACGATTTGACGTGGAATGACCCCATCCAAGTACTAACCGTACCTATGAAAACGTTGAATGCCTTGGAAAATTTTTTTTGTTGGATCTCTGGGTGTGTTCGCGTTCAGATTTTGCAGGGTCTATCCCCAAAGTGATTGGCGTCGTCACGCATACATGTGAGAGAATTCGAACCACAATTACGAGGGACATTCAATAAGAGCCCCTCTGTCCATTTGATTGTTGTCTACTTGCCTGCTTGTTGTCCATTGGAAAAAACACAGTTTTTGTGCGTGTAGAGCCAAATACACTGAAAAAGACGCAGAGGATTTCATTGCAAATATGTACTCAAGAATAATGCTCACTTGTAAATGAATGAACGCCAAATTTCCAATAATTTCAATATGATTTAATGGTGTATATAATGGGTATTTTGTCTTTTTGTTAATAAGCACCATATTTCTGCAAATTGTTGATTCTTTAGCACATTTTCGTTGGAACCTATTATCTTTACACACATTTACTTCCATTTAGTTTTACTTAATTTTCTATTTTGTAGTTTGTATTTGTATTTATGTAGTTCATTGAAGCAACGGTGTGTTTAATTTTCAAACACATTATTTTATGTATGTGCATCCATTGGGTTTAGCCCATAATGAAACAAATGAAATAGTTGAGTAGGTGCCGCATATTCATTGATCTTGCTAGAAATTGACATCAGTGAATCAACAAAAATGTCTGTTGTAACCATTCTCATTTAAAAAGTACACAAGCTTTACAAGAGTACTTACTTTATATGTAGATGCATTTTGTATCTGTCGAGTATTGTAGGGCTCACATACAGTAGTTGATAACTCCTTAAATGGTACTGTTGTTTTAAAAATATTTAGATTTCCTGTTTTTTATTTCAAGTTGATTCAATGGTTTTCAGGTGTTTGTCAGCTATTACACTTGCATCAAAGTGTATGGCTCCTGCATTTCGAATGCATGTGCGTGCTCATGGGACAGTCACCAAGTTTTTCCGTGCCTTACATGATGCCACGAAAGATCAGGTGAGTTGCAATAATGAACTAAGTAGGGAATCTACGATTAACATGAAATCATTTGTAATTAGAAATAATAGTGCAAAGTTTTATAACTCAGAAATATGATGAATCTCATCTCTGGTATGCTGGCTCTCCGTGTCTCTAAGTTATAACAATAAATCAAATCTATTTTCAACACCACACACAAAAAAATATTATTTCATCGCTTTATAGGTGAAATTATTTCTGAAATATAACGGTTTGTTTGACTTCAAGCAGCGTTCATATACGGTGCGATTTATTTTTGGTAAACAATATTTCCTTTTCCATTATTTCTTAACAAATGAACCTGAGCTAACTTCTTTCATTCAAACCAGGTGTAGGGATGTAATGATCCCTGACTTGATATTGATAACATTTTTTTTTTTTTTTCCACGGTTTTTATGTGAATTAAATTTGGTATAACATTTTTATTTATATTGAAAATCGAACCACTTCTTTGTTATATTTTTACTAAAGATAATTTCTGTAACTGTGCTTTTGTAGAGATTATTAATGTTTGCAGAGAGGTATGATCTCTTACAGCCTATTCAAGTCACAAGGTCTTGTATTTTTTGTGTGGAAAAACTAGTAAACTCAGTTTTCAAATGTGTGAGAAATCAGTAGTATGGATATTAATTTGAAAGTGGAAAGTTTTCTCACAACACTCAATGAAAATTAATTTTTTGTATTCTTGAACATTAAGAATAATTTATTACCAAAAGATGTTCAATGGCTGCAACACTGGAGCATATTTATATAATAAAAATAAATCTATTATCAGACACACAATACAAGTATAACTTTTATTTGAAATCAGTATATTCATTAAATTTTAAGTCAATTATATATTATTCATTTTATTTTAATTCTTTTCTCTATGTGCTCCAAACTGCTGCTCCTCTTTGAACATCTGCTACTATTGTAGTATAAGTGACCGATCACTTCTTTCTCCATATAAAATTCTGACTTTTAAAAGCAACGTCTGCAGAAATTTTTAAGTCTGTTCTGTGCAGCATTGAAAGCTGCTTTTCAATATAACAAACATCTTTAAACAGTATTTTTTCTTTCTTTTTTATGTTTTTTATGGGGGTGGATAAATTATTTATAGAGGTAGAAGTAGATTTCACCAAAAATCCACCATTATATTTCTCATCTTCAGTCTTTGTTTTAATGTTGAATCTCTGAAAATTTGAGAACGATGTGTCATGTCATTTTATTTATTTATTTAATTGTTCATGGATAACACTATTTACATTATTAAAATAAAACAATGCGTATCCTTAATGTTCTATGAGGTATTGTATGTATGCATGTTTAATGATGTAAAATACTTATAATAGACATATCACTATAGGCCAATGAGGGATATGGTTGCTTACAGTTATTGACACCCTTCAACACACTTCGTTAACGTGTGCATTCCATCCCACAAAAACCCATTTTTTATTTCGAAATTCATCTGCATACCCTTCAAAAAGATTCACATGTGCTCAGTTACTTTTTTTCCTTGTCAGTCTACATTTTAGAAATGCTGTTTACACTTCTATTTCTGATAAGAAACGCCAACAAAATCACTTCGAAGTTTCCAATTCCAAAAATTCAAGAAAATACAGACAAATTAATGATTCACAAAAGAAACTAGGTTGCCAAGTATTGGATCACAAGAAAAGAAAGTACTGTCGAATTGAAAATGACAATGATACAATAAAGCAAAACGCACAAACGGTTCGTGCTTATTCGCCTCTGTTTTGCATTTAGGTTATTCCACGACAGAATAGAATTTTACACCACGTTTATTGATAGGGCTGTCAAGGTTTAAGCACTAAGATAAATCGAGTTTTTAATGCAATAGAGGAGTTTAACATGGATATCATAGTGTTGAGTGAAACAAAAAAGGGAAATGGAAATTAAAGGAAAGGAAATAATATACACTTTTTTTAGTGGAATGGGGAAAAGAAAAATCAGAAAGAGCAAAACTGTACATAAAAGGTGTGAGAAAACTATTTATAGCTGGGAAGCAGTTGACACAAGTGTTGGGAAAAAATGTTTAGAGAAACTATTATTTCATTACCCCACTTTATATGATCTGTTTCTACCACCTTTCTGCTCATCACACTGAAGTGGCAGCTAAGAGGAATGAGGGAAACCAGAGCAGGACACTTCAGAAACTTTTATTTTTTTATTTTTGTGTGTCGTGTGAATCACACCCTTGTAGGGTAAATGGGCATATCAGAGAACAATACAGTATCTAATTACAACAGGAAAAACAGTTCCAAACTAACATTTTTTTTTCCTCCATAAGGTAAATTTTAGAAAATTAATTGATTACGAAATATGATAAATCTTCTTTCATGATTCAGACATCCAGGAATATCTTCATCTTTGAAATTATTTCCTCACATCTATTTTCACAGTCATTTTACTGTTTCATTTCTAGGCCCTGCTTTATTTACAGAATTCGTGGCAACAACCTCAAAATTCTATCTATTCCAGAAATGATCCTCAGCTCTCTTTGGTTTAGTTTACACATCGTGTTGAAATATCCTTGTCGATTCAGCTTTCTTAACAGCAGACCCTGGCAGGTTGTGTACCAAGTGATCTCACTTGCAATCTTTCAAAGATGAGAAAATATGTTATCACCTCCCAGATGTAAATATTCCTTAAGGTCAGTGAACTCTATATTAGGCTCGCAAACCCTTTTCCTAACCTACACAGAATGGTGCATTCAGCTGTTACAAACATTTTCTTTTCAGTACTACAAAATTAAATGCATGAAAAAAGGGGTTATTAATTTTCAACAGTCAGTCTTATCTTTTTCTGATAACTTCTCAGCAGTCAGGTAGAGACAAGGGAGAATTTCAAGTTAATACGGAGAAAACAAAACTGAGTAACTGAGGAGGTGGGCGGTTACGTTATAGTGGGTACCTTAAAAGAAGGAAAGTCAGAAAAAGATCGTTAAAAGCAACAAACAATGTGAGTGTAACTTAATGGATGAAGGTATCTTTAACGTTATTATGACCTACTAGTGTTCTGTTTGATTGATTACATGAAACTGAATTGATGCACTATTGAATTATTTCAGACACGCAGACAAGTAAATCACACTATAGTTTGATTTCAATTTAGAGCCGAATTATTATCGTATTTAAAAAAATAAATTTGCTGAAACCTACAAACAATATTGTCTTGGACCTTATTGAACTTGAAAGAATTTCAAGTTAATATGGAGAAAACAAAACTGAGTAATGTTAGAGAATGAATGAACGTTTTGCTCAACTTCGCACTTTCACGTTCACGTTCTTACATAAGTGTGGAAATTCTGATTTTCACACATTTTCAATGTGGCCCACAACTTATTCTTATTCAAATTAACTAACACCTTATTCACATAAACATACAAAACAGTCACCTTTTAATGTTAGATTCACATCAAAACGTTCGCATCAAACGAATAGAGCAATTGCAGAAGTAGAAGTGAACACAAATTACACTTAAGTTTGTGGAGTATTAATCTCTTCAAAAATGAAAGGAGAAAAATATGGAAGTTCTAAGGAAATGCAGATAAGAATCAAATGAAGTTGTAAAAGATGTTGTGGCAGAATTTTTGGAACAAATTTGGAATGATCTTCATATTTGCATATAGCAGCATTTGTGGTAATTCAAGTATGGTATGTGCATTTAGGCAAACATTACATAAAAATGCAGCTGTTCTGAAATTTAAATATTACCATCAAAACCTGGAAGTATAAATATAATTTTGAAAATGCAGTAAGACCATTTCATATCCTGTATAGAGATAACGCTCAATTCCATTGGATGTTGGAACTTTTGTACGGGAATATAACATTGTCGGCTACTATGATTCATTGGTAAGTCCAATGCCAGATACAGAAAAAATATATTTGAACAAAGCTGGTCATGAAGGAAATGAAGTATGAAAGACATTTTCAACACATAAAACCATTTTTAAAACAGTTTACAGCATCGCTGATGCCACATTTTACTAGTATGTAACGTAGTATATGTAGTTTATGCAATATGTTATATTTTGCCTTTTTAAGTGAATATTTTGTAGTTTTTTATGACCTGAATTTCTGGGCCCTAGTAATGAAACCTTGTTTAGTCTACTATTTGCAAAAGGTCATATGATAGTGGCAGATGATAAAGACGATATACCCAGTGCGGTACTAAGAGTAGAAAAGAAATAAAAGAGAAGAATGGAAATTAATGTGCAGAAGACCTAGTATACATTAATAGGGGATATTTCCCATTATGTAGAGACTAGTATAGGATAACCTATTTTATTTGAAGAAAAAATCTCTGTTCAATATTGTAGTTGTAGGAAGATGCTGAAAAATATTTTAACTATTCAAGTTGTCGAAAATTTACAGTTAACAGTGAAAATCAGACCTGGAAAATCTTCATAAGTGTATTTCACTCCATCCTTACAAGAAATTTAAAGAAAAATATAAGTCGGTTTTATGAAAATTTTGAAAATGTCCCCTGGGTTTCATGGAAAGCCCCGAAATGTAAAGAATTTATTTATTTATTTATTTATTTATTTACTAAAACTTACATGAACGGGTGGGTCAATCTGGATAATGTTCACAATAAAACAAAGTTACATATGAGAAAGAAATATAAAATTTCTATTATAAAATTACAATTTGGTAAATAGAAAAGAAAACTGAAAAAGAAAGAAAAAAGATAAAATATGGTATATAAGCAAGAGGAATAGTATAAAATTGGTTCAAATATTGTTTGAATGTGTGAATCCAGGGAGCATTGACAACAGCAGCAGGTTGGCGAATCAAGCGATCAGACTCTGTTCGAGAGAAAAAACTTACGTGGATTGTGCAAAAAGAGAGTCTGTTCAATTTGTAATTGTGACCACAACGGTAGATGTTGGTATTGCAGAGGAAGAAATCATCAAAACTTGGACAGTTGTTGTGACCGTTTAGTATTTTGCATGTTTCAATGAGATCTCCCTGCAAAATCCAGTCGCTAGCTGTTGATAGGTGGAGTACTTAAAGTCTCTCAAGGTGTGACGTCTCAGGGCAGGAACATTTCTCTAGGATTTCCTCTGCACACTATCTTAGAGAGCCTGTTCCAGGGTGACCTATGGCACCCAGATGCAGTGACCAAATTCAATTAATGGCCTAATGTGTGTAAGTCGAAATGTTACCGAGAAGTTGAAACGTCTGGTGCTTGAAGGCTCTGTTGACCAGATAGGAGATTCTGATGACTTTTTTTCATTGCTTATTGAACTCCACATTAAATCCTGTGAGAACATAATTCCCAAGTGAGTTTGAAATGGAAGTGTGGAATATATTGGTTGTTCAGATGATAGCGTTTGCATGGGTTATTTTTGATTTTCATTTTTCCCCAATATGAATTAAACATTTCAGTGGATTGGCAGTGAGCAGCCAGTTGTTTGGTCTTTGGGATAGCCTGTTGAGATCTTGGTGAATATTGAGCACAAGTAGGTTACAGAGGTCAGTTATGTAGATAAGGAAGTAGGCCCAAGACAGAACCTGTGGAACACTGCTGAGGGTAGGCTTTTCGGAAGAGAGAAAACCACCAGCTCTCACTCAGATGTTCCGGTTCTGCAGAAATGCTGTAATCCAACATAGCAAACTCAAGTGCTAGAGTGTAAACTGAAGCTTTTCATGGGAACCTGATTGAAATCTTTTTGAAGCCAATGTTAATGGTCTCAACTGATAAGCCGTTGTTTGGCAATAATATGGTCCTGTTGCTCAAACATTTCAGTACGTTGGAGCAGATACACCTGCCTTGAAGAACTCCATGTTGATTATAGTAAAAGATCGATTGTACTGCAGAAATTTAATATTGAGGCAATGTCAATTTGCTGCCTTAGTTAAAGGAGAGGTCAGTGAGATATGTCAATAATTTCCTGCTACTGTTCAATCACCTTTCTGGTACATAGGAATGATGATGAATGAAAGCCAATCCAGTGGAGGGCAATATTCTTTCATGGGTTGCTTAAGAGCAGTCAAGGTTAGACTGTGTGGAACCACATTGCATCTTTGATTTCCTTAAGGTACTTATTGACTTGTTGAACAGTTTTGAAAATGTTTTTCAAAATCCTGGAGCCTTGAATCAGGCTAAATCGACCAGGAAGTATTAATTTTGGAAACAATCCTACAAAAAGTTAAGGTGCTAGTGCCGTTCACAGATGGATAGAGGGAAGAATGTTTTAAAAAACCAACAATTTTTTCGGTATCAGGGGACCCCAAAGTGTAATTCTGGTAAAATCTCAAACTTGCTTTTTCACATCATTATAGAATTTTCTCTTTACTACATATATTCATAGTGTAGATACATATATATTTAAGAAGGTAAGAGGAAGTGCATGAGAAAGTTAAGGGACCACCTCTTGCACACACTTCATTTGTCTTGTCATTGTTTTGTACTTATTACACAGAGAGATTTCTGAAAGAAGGGACCATTTTGATAGCTACTGCTTGGCCACTGTTGGCAACACTTATGTCCATGCACTCACATTGTCTGTGTGTTCCGCTTACAGGTAGCTCATTTGCAAATGGGTTAATCACTATCTCTTTCATTATCACCATGAGTGATGATCATTTGTTTCCCATCCGATCAAACTGGTCCCTTCTTAGAGTAACTCCTGTATATTCCACAGGGGCCGCATTAAAATAAATTTTTGTGATCATAGAGAAAGAATTATTGAACACGTGTTTTGTATTTACCCAAATATACATCAACTCTGAATATAGAGCAACCTGCTAATTTTGAAGAGGCCTCCTGAGAATTTTTAAAATTTTAAACTAATTCTTACTATTTAGTCAAAATAAAATTGGAAATTGTCTTACTGACTAGAAAGTTGCCGTGTTGATGAGAATGTGAAGACTTATTGATGAACTATCATTTTCTTGTTCCTTAAAATCATGACGTTTTTTTTTCTTTTCACTACCCTCCTCCTCACATGTATCAGTGTTTCTTTCTTTTTGGTCCTCCTTCCACTCTGCAACACCTGACGTTTTAGGCCTCTCTGAAAGTTTTGTGCTTTCAATTTGTGTTTTTCTTATTCCTTCATTAGACACCACATAAGAGCAAGTCCTTCTGTGGCACCAGATTTTCTATTCATCTCCAACTTGTTGATGGCAAGTTTCTTTAACTGTTCAAAACTCAAAATCTTGGCATTTATTTTCACGTTACGTTTCATTTGTTTCAATGCCATTGTTTTTAAATTCTCTCTTTAATGGCCCATTCAAAATATTGAGCCAAATTGCCTTCAAATTCGCAATGGATGCCGAGAATAAGAATGCAAATATTATTACGTGCAGCGACACATATACGCACCATACTTTTACTGTCTTTGCAGTTTGTCCCGTAAACATTTACAAGTTCCTTGGTGTGACAATGTTAAAACTTAAACCCTAACCGCCTACGCTTAATCTGCAAATATAACATGACCCCACATTTTTTAACTGAGATATTTTGGAAAAAACCTAGTCTTATATTCGGGTAAATATGGTAATTTGCAATTATTCTTATTCTAAACTATTATCAAAGCAAAATGTTTTTGCTGTTGAATAAAGTTGTGCTGGTGTTATTTTTCTTGCCTCTTTTTTTTTAAACACCAATTTGGAATATTTTCAAGTTCTCAACGATTTGCATTATCTTGCAGAGCCTGGCATTGTGCACTGCAACAGTGATGTTTGTTCTCAGTCAGGATCGTTTGAATATGGATCTTGACAAACACAGCCTAGAGTTAATGCTGAATCTCTTGGAATCTGATGCAAGTCACAGGAATGCATTGGATGACTGTGGGATGAGCAGTGCACAGTTACATAAGAACAAGCAAAAAGTTCGTGAATTATGTGGAGAAATTCAAAGCCAAGGACATGCGAAGCATCTGAATTTGGACAATATTACGGTAAGAATTCACATTAAAATTGTTCTTGCTTTCATCCAATTCATATTTTTATTTGTAACTGTATTTATGTGATTCTTTTATGTCTGTGGTCTTTAAGCCAAACAGATTTAATGTTATGTGTATAATTGATTCTTTCTACCCTTTTGTGTTTATATAGGTTGGACATCTTGCAATGGAGACTCTTCTTAGTTTGACATCCCGTCGTGCTGGGGAATGGTTTAAAGAAGAGCTGCGGGAACTAGGGGGTTTAGAACACATTGTCAAGACTATTTCTGAATGCTGCCGCCATTTGGGTGAACAGTTTGTCATTCAGTGGTCAGAACCTCTCCTTGATAAGTTAAGAAAAGTGGACAGATGCTTACGTGTTCTTGAAAATGTAAGTTCAGTATTTCAAATGTAATTACAAAATTGAAATCTACTGCAGTTTCTGATAACAAAAATATATTTTGATAGGTCACTCATCAGCATGAAGAAAACCAGCTGTACTTGCTACGCTATGAAGATGGAGTGTTAGTCGATATTCTCTTTAGACTCTTCTGTCAGTGTGATGCTGAAATTACCATGTATCCTGTGACAGATGAGTCGGACAAAGAGTCTACTGGTGTAGTCATACGGGAAGCCTTATTAGTTACATTAAAGGTGCTGATAAATCTTTCACATGATTTTAACAACCAATGTGAGTATAAAATTATTTTGTTTGGTAATGACTTTAAAAAAATAACTTAAAACAACAGTTTCGGTCCATTTTCAATTGTTGGAATTTCTACTGATTGTTTGCTTTGCATTTTGATATGGACATTTTTATTTTCTCGCATAATATAGAAAATATACTGCAAAATTATCTGACAGCAAAACGTTTGACTGGTCATCTGCAACACTAAAATTGTTCACATGCTGTTCTCCACAATTGATACTCCCGTCTGTCTGGCTGAAATGTGAATTTTAAATGAATATTGAGATTTGGGGAGAGGGTCTTTTTCATGGCATTAATAGTATTTTTTTAAAATGGCATCAAATATTTTGAATGCATTTTTGCCTTGGATAGAGCAATGGCAATAAAAAAGTCTCGTAGGTTGCATTTTCATTGAATTGTTTGAATTTTAGAAAACTGCAAAAGTGGAGAACTTTTTCCACGTCTTCCTACAACTACACTATTCAAGAAATATTTTACCTTAATGGAATTTGTTCTTCAAGGACTACTCTTTTAGTAAAATCAGTAAAAATTTTCAAAAATTAAGTGGATTCTGTGAAATACAGGTGAATAAAAAAAAATTCAATAAAACTGTTCTGTTCAATTTTTTTCTTGACTGGAGCCTTGTAAGGCAATGACATGCCTTAATATCAATACACTCTCTGTATTTTCAAAAATTAAAAAAAAAAATTACTAATCGACAATATTCGTGTAAGAGATTTTTACTTTCTCACACTTACTAACAAAAAGAGAAATATTGTAATTGTGTGCCAAAAAATGGGGCATTTTCGACACAAACACTTTCATTGGCTAAAGGCAACGAAAAAGTGGATAAAAGAAGTGTTGCAAAATATTGAGAAAAAAATATTCTTTAACTTATGGTGTAGTCAGAATCAACATTTTGTGCATCCTTATGTCTCTGTCAATCTGTGCCAAACACTAGCACATAAACCGTTCAGCCGATTATCTCCAAAATTGATATTTTCCCATCGATCTGGCTGATGTTGCGTTCTCTGGAATTGGGAACAGATGTTATAATTTTAGGGGGTAACTTTTCATGAAGCCCCTTGGACATGTTCAATTTTTTTTAAAAAAGTAACAAATTTTTAAATAAATTTTGTTGTTGGATAGTGTGAATGACAATTAAAAGTGGATCAAACTTGTTTGGCATCTTCCTACAGCTATTTTATTGAAGAGATTTTTTTCCTAAATTAAATTTGTTCTGGTAATGATTTTTGCTTCAGATAAAGTTGGTTGTACAAAACAAGCTTTTTAAAAAGGTCATGTACAATTATTTTCTTTCTCTTTCTTCCTTTTTCTGTCTTTCTCTTTCTTCCTTTTTCTGTCTTTCTCTTTC